CCCCAAAACCCCAAAACCCCAAAACCCCAAAACCCCAAAACCCCAAATCTTAATAAATTTATTGGATAAAATCTTGACTAAAATGGAGAAAATTTCAGAGAAAGAGTAAGCCCATAACCTCATTTCCTAGGAAGAAGAGGGACTTAAAGGAAGAAGACAAAAAGGAAGAGGTCAGCAAGCAGGAAGAAGTCAGAACAAAGAGAAGAAGGAGTAAGAGTAAGAAGAGGAGGGAAAAGAAGCATGTAAGAACTGAGAAGTGCACTATCCCTCCCACTCTTGAAGAGATTGACGAAAGAATCAAAGGGTCGTACTTAGAGACAATGAACTTTGCATCTTTTAAACCACTTACGGAGATTGAAGGTCGTATTCAGTGTCCAAAGTGTAAGTCTAATAGAAAGTTTTATTGCTATGCTTGCTATGTCCCATTGGCTAGAGACGTCCCTCAACTCAAACTCCCTGTAAACTTTACAGTGCTGAAGCATCCAGGGGAGAAAATGGGAAAGAGCAGTATCATCGCTTCGAAAATAATTGCTCCTGACAATGTGACGATTCATAATAGCCTGGAAATTTCTGAGTTCGATTATGACAGTACAATTCTATTGTTTCCAAAGGAAGATAGTGTGCCAATCACTAGCATGCCTAAGGAAACTCTCGAATCTGTCAAAAACGTTGTCCTGATTGACTCTACTTGGCTTCAGGTCAATAAGTTCCTCCAGAATGAGAACGTCAGCAAGCTCAAGACAGTAGTGATCAACACTGAGAAGACAATTTTCTGGAGGTACCAGCGAGGTGTCACAGACAAGAACCTGTCTACTATCGAAGCGATGTACTTCTTCATGAGGGACTACGACAAGGTAATGTCTGAGAAAGATTATGATGGAAAGTATGACAACCTGTTATACTTCTACGCATACACATATGCCTTGATCCAGAACGAATACAAGAAGGGGCTCAAGAAGGACAAGGAGTTCAAGACCATCAAGGGCTATGTCAAAGAGAAATCTGAAGAAGATAATAAGGAAGGTAGTGGCTAAAATATTTTGTAGTTCAATTTAGGCATGGAAAAGTGGGGTTTTGGGGTTTTGGGGTTTTGGGGG